GTAGATTGTTAATTATACAAGTAAGTATATATATAAATAAATATTAATTAAATATAATATAATTATTATTATTGGTAATATAATTATTATATATATTATATATTTTATAACGGTCCGGATACACCAAAATGAGAGAGATCCAAATATAGTATAAGTATGAGATTGTATAGTTAAGGATGACTTAAATGAATTAATTTGTACTACATATACTGACAACATGCATGTGCCTTTCTGTAACTTATCTCATCAGAATTCCACAATTAAGAGTGCTTGACTTGGAGTAATATAGGGATGGGTGACCTTCTGGGAAGTTTCCCAAAAACTGTGCAGCAAGGGCGAAACACGCCGAAAAGTGAAGTGTCGTGAAATAGAATTCTTGAGAGGTCAAATATGAGGATTGTTACACTAATAAATTTATTAAAATTAAACAAAAAAAATTTTGACGGATTTATCTGTCGGTAATTTCTGACAAATGTATCTGTCGGAAATTTCTGACAGATAATTACTGAAGGATGTATCCGTCAAAAATTTTCGATGAATTAAATTTTTTTCGACAGATTTTTTTTTCAACGCCCATTTTTCGACGAATTTGCATCTGTCGAAAATAGAAAATTTCTGACGGATTTTCCTTCTTTCCAACGGATTATGTCCGTCAAAAATTTGTATTTTTCTTGTAGTGTATTAGCGTCGAGCATTGGAAAAGTGACATCGAGTGTGAGTTGTTGAATGAAAAATGATTGATTATTTGACTAAATGTTGAACATGTATGTTATAAGTTGAATTACTCACATGTTATATATTGTTGTATGATTCTAGTTCATTATATCTTGATTTAGGATGATATATGTTGATATTTAAGTTGCTTAAAGTTGTAAGTTGATTGAGAGTTGAACTTTGATGGAGTTGTACGTTGTGTAGTGTGGATAATAGTTGTGTGAATAATGCTTAATGCATGGAGTTGAGTTGTGTTGATTGACTTAGGAATAAATGAGAGATATTATTTTGAAAATATGAATATCCCATTATGTGAATATAGTGTTGTGGTGCTCTATGAGCCCAGTTGATTGAAAAACCCTTCTTAAAAAGTTGACTCTTAAAGTCGAATATTGATTTTTTTAGATCCTTAGTTGATATAGTATATAGGTCAGATCAAGCTATATTGATTATAAGTGTCCAAATGTAGATTCGTATGGGACTAGGTCAAGTCATACTTGTATAAAGTGATCAAATCGAGTAAGATACAAGGTCAGGAGTCATAATCTCTGACCAAATATTGGAAGGGGCATAATATTTATAGGTAGTCAGTGGTTATGCATGTTAATGAGGTTGTGGTATGTTTACACTTAAGATGTTTTATCCCTAATAAGAATACTAGACTTTCCTAGTTTAAGCAGCGAAACCTGATAAACCATGTTGTGTTGTGAAATTTTATCCAAATTTGTTATTGATCTAGCCAACTAAAAAAGATCACACTGTTAAGTTGGTTCGATAAGGTCTAGTTACTTAGACTACTCACTTGTGTTGTAAAAAATTTATTAGTTGAAATGTGTGATGACACATCATGTTATTGTGTTGTAAGTTGTGGAATTGATATATGTTGATATGTTGTAATGTTATGGAGTTGTTGTGTTTTGATATAGTTTTGTTGTGAACTATTATGTTTATCACGTGTTAAAAAATTGTAGTATTCACATGCTAAGTGGAATTGTTGATAAGTTGAGGTGTCGTTATGTTGTACACTTGAGAACTTGGATGAGTTGTATTGTGTGGCTTATATGTTGAAACTGATTAATAATATAGTTGTACATTACCTCTATACTTTTTATGAGTTTACTTTTACATGTTTTCTTATGATTGAACTACAATAATCATACTTGTTATGAGAATAAGACAGAATTATACAAGCGGATGAGCAAGTTTTTGGGATCCATGTTAAAGGATTACAGTGTTGCTTAAGCTATCCTAGTGTAGGAATTTTTTTTCTTATAGTTTTTGTTTGATCGACAGCTAGGATTTTAAGTTTTTGGTTTGAATTTTGTTGTAGTTATGTATCAAACCCTAAACCCTAAACCATATTATTGCATGTATATCTAGAAACTGTTTATATGGTAATCTTCATTAGTTAATTTTATGATTTATATAACTTTAGTCATTAAATTGTAAAGTGTAAGAACTTATTATATCATTATGATCAGTATTCTTGAGGTCAAAACATTTGCTAGAAGAAGGATTAGACTATTCTTGCTTTTTCATGTTATTTAAGAATTGTGATAAAAAATTGTTTATAAATATTTTCTTCTTTATCTTATCGAGACATAAAGTTATAATATATAACTTAATAAATATTAAAATAAATAATATTTCAAATGTTGTCGACTCTCAAGTTGCCAACAAATTTGAGATTGTTAATGTAATTACAATTTCTATGGAAAAAATATGATTAAAATTAAAAATAAATGTTACATGATTAAACACATTTTAATATTAAAACAGTCATTTTTCTTTTATACGGTTCTTTTGTTGATTTCCAAATTTTATTTTTCCCGAATAATAATAATGGGTTGCGGGTAGGGGTAAGCGTGGCATTACCAGAATCATCCAAATAAGGACCTGAGGATGAGTTAGTTGAGTTGCACCTTCACATGCCAAACTCAATGAAACCATTCACTTAGGAACCGAACCATGGCGTTAACGTTCGGTTCACTGACTCCTAATTCCAACACCTTGTGTCTCACTCTCACCACACCTCCCCTCAACAACCTCATCACTAATCATCGTACTAATTTTGTGTTCTGTGGCCGAAGTGTCAGCTATGGACACTCTCTGTCTTATTCACACCAAAGGGCTTCTTCCTTTGCCACTATTGTCTGTTCTGCTGCCAATAAACCATCTCCATCTGAAATTAGGTACCCTTTTTCTCTCTATAGCGCATGGAACTAGCTACCAATTCAACAGTTTAATTTTTGTAAAAAATTAAAAATACCAATTTTCAAATAATTAACTTTTCTTTGATTGGCACTTTCGGGGTGTTTTCGGAACAGAAATTGTTTTTATTTAACTTTCTTATGCAACAAAGAGAGATAGGAAGAGAAAAGAGAGAAGCGTGTCATAACTAAGGTAGTTGGTGTAATGGTGATAGAAAGAAAAAGTAAAGAAAATAATGTCACAAGTTATTATAGAAATGTGTTGTATAAATAATATAACCCTTTTCGGAATGGTGTTTGTGTTTGTTACATTCAAGTATGTTAATTGTAATCATGATGTAGAGATGTATGACATGAATCACATGATCATAATGCAATACGAATAGTAAAGGTAGCATTGGCGCGAGAGCAAAATCTAGCTATGAATTGATCATGAGAATTGATGCCGAGCGTGGCATTTAATGGCCACAAACAAACAACTAATTTTAGTTTAAGTTCATAGTTTCACCTATTCATCATATACTTTTGAATTCCCAGTTCCCCTTTTTATGACACTGAAGCTTGAAAAAGAAAAGATTAGGATCCAACAAATATAGTTTTGGTTGGAACTATCTTGCTTTATGAACATTTTTATAGCCCTTTTTAGGCATTTCTTCCTGTTGCTTCCCCGGAAGCTTTAGGTTTTATATGAAGTGTTTTTATAAGGAACATTCCATGATAAAAGGTAAAATAATAATCATCATCATCGTCATCAGAAGCATCATCTAAAGATCTTTTTGTCAGCAATTTCGCATGGTTATTTTGTTTGGACAAACCTCTGAAATGAATGCAGAGTTCACTCAACTTTCTTCTTTTCTTATGGTTTCTCCTCTTTATGCAATGCTTGTTTCATCAGGTTCTATTAGCCAGTGATGCTTCATCAATCATTAATCATATTTGTTCTTCAGCTCTACAGCCAAGATAAGGAGCGAGGTTCTCTCTCCCTTTCGGTCTGTTAGGATGTTCTTTTATATTGCTTTTGTTGCAAGTGGTGCTCTGGGGGGATTCATAGCACTCACGCAACTAATTGGTGCACTGGCTAATTCATCAAGAGCGTCTGAAATCCCTGAAATTGCAAAGGGCCTTGGCATTGACATTGCGGCAGTATCTTTATTTGCTTTCTTGTACTTCAGAGAGAACAAAGCAAAGAATGCACAAGTGGCTCGCCTCTCGCGAGAGGAAATCTTATCAAACCTTAAGCTTCGTGTGGATGAGAAGAAGATCATTCCTGTGAGCTCATTGAGAGGGATTGCACGTCTTGTCATATGCGCTGGCCCTGCATCCTTCATAACTGAGTCTTTTAAACGTAGTGAACCTTTCACCGAAAGTCTTTTGGATAGAGGAGTGCTTGTTGTGCCCTTTGTAACAGATGGAAATTCACCTGCGTTAGAGATTGATGAGACTGAGGAACTTGCTTCAAGAAGGAAGAGACTTTGGCAACTGGCTCCGGTTTACATCACTGAGTGGTCCAAGTATGTCTACCAGGATCAAAAGTAAATATACAATTGAATTTTACTTTTCCTGATTTATTATTTATTTTTTCCTATGTTGTTTATAGGTGGTTAGATGAGCAAAAGAGGTTAGCTGGTGTATCTTCTGATTCTCCAGTGTAAGTACTATCCATGTTAGTATGCTGACATGTATATATGTTGAGATGTCTAATTTTTCATCTAAAGAATATGCACAACACATATATTCTTTTAAAATGTGAAGTTTTAGTCATATGAGGTTATAGTTTTGTAGTGAATTTGTACAACCATATTATATGGTAGGATAGATACTGTAATAAAAAACCATCTTTATTTTGGGATGCTTGTCATTTAGTGAACATTGCACAAGAACTTAAGCTTCTTTTTTTTTTCCCTTGTTATACAGGTATCTATCCCTACGCCTAGATGGTCGTGTTCGTGGCAGTGGTGTTGGTTATCCTCCTTGGAATGCTTTGGTTGCACAATTACCACAAGTAAAGGGAATCTGGACTGGCCTACTAGATGGCATGGATGGTAGAGTTCTTTAGTGCTTTTTTCTACTTCTGAAAGCACAAAACAAAAAGTTCAGCCCTCTTTTTCTTCATTTTCTTTTTCTGGTTTTGTTTCCTATAGTGGGCAATCCGTTAAACTTTTATGATTTGGTTTTAATATAATTTTTGGCTTGATCTTCCTGTTAACGATGTGTTTAGTGGCTATTGGCTCAAATTAAGACTATTTACATTTTGGGAAAATTATGTTCACCACCCTTAAAGTTTAATAAAACTACACCTGATATCCTTCTCTTTTTCTACATTACTTTGACCTCTATATAAAGGCATAAGAAATTAAGAGAAGTCTGTGTTATTGGAAAGGATTGTGTTATTTTGTTATATAATTTGAGGCAAATTTGTGTAGGATTAAAAAGGGAAGGAATATTGAGTGAAAGTTTGTTAAACTTCAAGGAAGTGTGAGTGTAATTTGCGTTTATATTTTTTTTTTGTAACATGACTGATAATTTTGCATTAGAATCGTGTCTATCCCTTCTCGAAGCTTTTGTATGATTGTAATGTTTATAGTTACCTAATACGTCTTAAGTCATGAAGTGGTAAGCATTATCTTAGCACTTAGCTTGATGCCACTTGAAAAACAGACGAGTCATGTTAATTGTACACAAAAAGAATTAGCTCACATAATATATCGATATCACCCTTTTCTTTCCTACTGCTCTCTTTTTCTTCATCAAATGCAATGGTGCGCATTGCTATGTGAACTCGTGAGTACGAAAACATGTGCAATCAAGATTTTTCCAGGTTAATATGTATGTGATGAAGTAACATATAATTAGTGCTCGGAATAGGGCTCTCCCATGATAGTTAAAGCGTTTGTGCAACATATGAACAAAATATGAAGCTTTTCATTTACCATTCTGCTTACTTCGGAGGGTTAACCGTGCTTGAAAAATTGTAGATTAAAAAAAAAGGTGGCTGAATATGTAATTATTTATAAATCACTGCCAGTTTTCATTACCAATTTTGTAGTTGCGTTAGTGAGTATGTTATATGTTCCTAAGAAAAAGGAAACTATGCAAAAGGAGCCATGATCATCTGCAACAATCATTTCATTCACATTAGAATATTATACCTCATTGTCATGACAAAACTTAAAAAAAAATGCACGTTTCTACTCCACTCTAGATTTTTAGACATCCTAATTTTTATATTTTAGCACATATTTATCTCTTTCTTATTTCTTCACACGGATCACTCATCACATCTCTCATTCTCTCTCTTTTCATTTGTCTTTCTCTTCAACACCCCATGAGATGCAAAATCTGTTCTATTCTACTTAACATTATGAGGTGATCAAACGCATGAATACTATTTCACTTTTACTTTTAGGCCAATTTCAATATTTGTAATGGCGAAAAATTGATGACTCTAACATGACTAATTACTGATTTGAATAAAATAAGAAGCGGGGTAGTAGAAGATTATGAGCAACTGCACACAGAATGTAGTTCATAGAGAATAGAGATGAAGGGGGTAGATATCAGAGAGAATATGATACAGATTCTTTTTTTATGACATGAGAAAATCTTAGGCTAGTAACTGCGACAGCATGACAGGAATCAAAATTACAATTAAATTGGACTCATTCTACTTCCTCGATCTCATCCAAAGCATAGTTGTTTGTTGATACATTGGCATAGTTGACTTTGTTGAATCGAACCACAACAGGGTAGCGAGTCTTTGGGTCCTGCACAACAAACACAAACCAATAAAACAGGAATTGGGTTTGCATGGGATGGTAGAAATTTGAGAGGGTATCATTGCATTAGGAGTGAGTCACTAACCTGATCAACAGCAACCACTGAACCAGTGCCTTTGTACCAGTAGGATTCCTTCCTAAGAATCTTCACCTGTTGATTGCAAAGAAAAGTTAGGTACTAACCCTGTTACTACACAGCTTCTTCAGTACAAGTTTCAACTTTCAGGCTATTTACCAACACAAAGTCTCAAATGAATAAAACGGACAAGTTTCATCACTGTCCTTTGATCCAACACATTCTGAAGACAAATGCTAGCTACATACTTCTTAACATGCTCTCTTGAACATATTCTTTGCTACTTATTGAAATTTATTGAGAATCATAAAATTATGAAGGTTTCACTTCATTTAATGAGATTCACTTATGATTTTATAATATCTATTAAATTTTAACTAATAATAGTAAGAGAGTGTTATTTTGAACATATTCTTTATTCCTCTGCACATCCAAAGAGAAATGCTAACAATAGTCTTCTTAACATGCTCTTCTTGAACATATTATCTATTTCTTATTGAAATTTATTAAAAATCATAAAATTGTATAAGCTACACTTTACATTCAATAAGTTTCATTCATGATTTTGAAATTTTTATCATGTTTTAATTAATAACATAAAGAGTATTAGAAAAAAGTGTATTCGTGGAACTCACTCCTCTATTTTGAATTCTCTCCATTTCTCTATATATTTGTAACAAGAAACTAGTTTGACACACTTATTACATCCATAGATGCAATACAAAAGCATAAAATTGTAGCAGAAATCAAAGACTTGTATATAGTTCAACAAAGTCCAATTTTTTTAATTATTTATCATATAAATCTTCGATGACAAGGAAGAAAATGAAAATAAGACATGTTTATAGTTAAAAACATTTCCTCAAACCAATTCTAATGGGATGATGATATGCTATAATATATTCACAAAAGAGACAACAATTAAGGATCATGAGAAAAAATTGATTTTTCACAAGATGAGTACTAAAAAGGTTGAGTTGTGGTTGTGGGGTAACTGACCTTAGTACCTCTCTTGGGGCCAATTGGAGGTGGCTTTGGTTTAGGAGCAGCCTCACCTTCAGCTGGGGGTGTGGCAGTTGCGGGTGCAGCCTCTTCTGATGCCCTCACAACAAGCTTAGAACCGTTGTTGTTCTTTGGGGGGAACATGGTGACCCTTGAAGGTGATGCGTTTGTGGTGGCACCTGCAACATTAAGGGACAACACAAACCCAGATGCTGCTGATGCCATGTTGCTGCTAGCCATGATATGATTTTTTTTGTGTGTGAGTGTGTGTCTTAGGTTGTTCTCTCTTTGTGTTGTGTGTACTAATCTTAAGCGTGGCAAAAGGACACGAACAACACAAGCGCTGAGAGGCTTTGAATGAATTATCTGATCCCCAGAAGTGTGCATCAATCGTGCCCGCCACTAGGGTGTTGCCACTTGTCAACCATATCCCAATCCTTTGGATAATGTTGCTACAACTCATCCATTCGTAAATCGCCCACTCAACTCACTTTGTCACTCGGCTAAGCTACTAAACTTGAATATGTGAAATGGGTCTCTTAGGAAATACTCAAAATGTTTTTTTTGTCCCATCAGCTAAATTTATTTTAAAAGTTGATTTTGAAAAGTCGTAAAATAACGATCCTTCCTAAAATAATTAAACTGTCAGACACTCTCAACTAAATTATTTATTTTTAATTCTTGTAAATTTTACACAAACTAGACTATCCTACGAAAATTACACAAACCTGAAAATTTTTATATTAATAAAAAATATTTCAAACGGTTATCTTATATGCGAGAATGTCTCTACTTTTTGAAAAAAAGTATTTTTAGATATTCTCTTATTTTCTAATATAATTCAGATTTTTATTTGTAATATTTATTAAATTTTAATATTTTAAAATAAATTATCAATAATTAAAAATAATCTTGTACAGTAATATAAATTATTTATCTTAAATATAAAATATAATTCATATGTTTAAAAATATCTATTTATACAATTTTTAAATATAATTTTTATATTTAAATATAATATTTATTTGTATATATAATTTATTATAAATTTTAGTTATATATAATTAATATTTAATCTGAAAATGTATATTTTAAAATACTAGTCGATATTAAATAGTATAAGTTTGATGTATTTTCCTTGCATACCAAATATGCATTTCAAATATTCAAAGATTGTAATAAAACCAAGGCATGGGTAAGATTTATTTAAAGAAAGTAGGTTAGGATTAGCTTAAATTGGAAAAATAAAATTAAATTAAAAGGCTTATTTTAATCCCCCGTTTTTTTTTTTTTGTCATTATTCCCACTTAATCTTCCGGTACTCATACACAATTTCTAAATTTTCTAACTTTTGAAATGATGATGATTTCTTTCATGCCCGACATTTTCTATTTCATTCTTTTGAAATTCTTTTCTTTTTTTGTCATTTTTTTCTTTTTGTTTTATGTTTTACTTTATTTTTGTTTGCTTTTCTGTTTCTTGTTTTCTTTTTTGTAAAGTTGAAAGAAAAAATAGAATGTAATACTTTCTTTTTTTGCAAAAGTGCATTTCTCATCCCAAAATTACAATTCGTGTTTTCAGCCAATTCCAAATTGTTTCTAAAAGTGCATTTCCTCTAGCAAATGAGCAACCCCAATTTTAAGTTTGAAAACTAATTATAAATTATTTCTAAAATTTTCAGCTAAGAGGAAAAAAATAGTTTTTCGTTTTTTCAATTGAAATACGGTTAAAAAAAATTAAAAATAGAAATTATTTAGGCTCAAAGGGAGTTATTAAGGGATAATGTAGGAACTATAAAAATAAATAAATAAAAAAATAAAACGGGATAACGTAGTGTACCTGTGTGAAGATATTTCTCTGCTCTCAGCTGATGTTCTCAATTAATACCTTCACTTCTTTTCGCTCTCCAAATTGGTTGCATGTATACATCAAAGGGTTGACACTTGCAAAAAATACTCTGACACTTAAGTAAATTACTTTGAGTAATAAACGCGAATTATTTATATTGATATTAACTTTACCTCAAGATACGAATTATTTATATAGATATTAATGGACCCTAATTTTGATGAGTCATAACTTAGGATTATCAATTAGGTAATATGTCGATAATTGATTCCCTATCCATGATTAAGTCTTAATCATCTTGGTTAGAATAACTGAGAGTTATCCATATTCATGTCTTTTCGACCTTATCGATATCCAAAAGATGACATGATCTTTTTGCTTATTGAGAATGTCGAGAGGTGGCGTGACCTTTTCTACTATTGAAGGTGTCGATGGGTTACTTAATTCCTTCGAATATTGAGGTATTGAGGGGTTACTTAATTCCTTTGGCTATCAGGGTGCTGAGAGATCACTTAATTCCTTCGAATACCGAGGGGTTACTTAATTCCTTCGGTTATCGAGGTGCTGAGAAGTCCTAATCTAATCAATTTCTGGTGATCGAACGGATTATCCCGTATATGTAGGATAAACTTTATTTGACCTCAGTTAATTTTTTAAAATGACCTAAATAATCTCATTACGAACACCTATAAAATCAAAATTTTAAAGAAAAATGTGGCTCTAAAGTAAATAAATAAATAAAATAAAATAAAAATGCTTGATGTGGAATATTCACCAATTACATGTTGGGCTAAATTTGCTCAGTTTTTTTAAAATAAGAAAAAAAATCATGCATCGCCGGCTAGTTATTGCAAAATGATAAATAAAAGAATATTAAGGAAAGAAATAAGTAAAATAAAAAAAATAAAAATAAAAAATGAATAGAATATTTTAAGTCGTAGAAAATCTCTTTTCATCTTCTATCTTCAACACTTCTATGTAATCAGAATGGAAATGTGTATAAAAATCCATTTAAAACCCCTAAATCGTATAATATCACATTTCAAAGCAGCAAATGTAGAAGGAAAAGAAGAGGTGAATTGACGTTTCGGAATTCAAACACACACTAAAACCAAAAAAAAAACCTATTACACAATGTGTATCATGAATAAAAGAAAAATATATATCTACAACTAGAAGCAGAAGCCAGGAAATATTTATGGTTAACGATTAAATATGCATAAACTTAAATTTGTAGTTTCTATAATTAAAAATATTTTATTTTAATTTTGTACTTGTTATTTTTTAAAATTTTTATTTCTTATTTTTATAAAAATTAAAAAGTAAAGTTTTTATCTAACCAAAAATAGTTTTGGTTAAATCCCTTTGTTTTTACTAGTTAGAATTTAGAGTCAAATTTAACTTACGCTGATTTATATTGTTGATAACATATGTGATCCATAATTCAATATTTAAATTAAAATACATTATTTTTACAGGAATCGAAAGGTATTTAAACTTTGTTTAAATTTGACATGGCGTTTGGCGCCAATTGCTTGCAATGAAGAAAAGGAAAACTTCCCAAATTGATCCCAAGCTTCCATTCCATGCACCTCCAATTTCCCAAACCAAAGGTATCTTTCTTCTCTCTTTTTACATGCTCCAAATTCCTGTTATAGTTTACGATTACAATCGATACCTAACCATTTGTGCCTTTCCTTGTACAATGTCTTTTGCTCCACATTCTCATGGTTAAGCTTGCACGTTCTCAAAATAATTGTTATAATTAAATTGTTTGGACTTTTCTTTTTCTGCTTAATTCGTTTGATTTTGAATTCAGGTGCGCTTACAGATCCAAAAACTTCAGAGTTTGCGTTCTTTAAGAAATTGAAGGAGGATGCAAGTCTCGGATGTAGTTCGCGTCCACTGCAAAAGGATTTTCACATATCATCTAAGAAGCCTGAATCCAGTGGCTATTTCAGAGGTTGCTATGAATTCAATTGTCATCAAAATCTTTAGTGATTTTACACTTGGCTATTATGAAAATGTTTTATTTTCATCTATATAGAAAGCTTTTATTTCTAATTATTTATAAATTAGCATCACTAGGAAGATTATATTCTCTAAAAATAAATAACTCATGAGATGAGATATTTTTATTCTCCTGCCACTTTTCTTTCCATGTTAAATTATTCTTTGTTTTAAAGCCACCTTATTTTAATTAGGTTGGGGGATTTCTTATTTCTATATAAGGAAGTGAATTAATTTTCCATTTTCCGTGCTATTCTTAAAATAGAATACTTCTCCCAGGTTTGTAGAGAAAGACATTGTACTTGTGCCATCATTGTTACAGCAAAACAGTCATCGCATTTATTTAAGATTTAAATATTTTTGTTGGTTTTTACAAATATACTAAATTTTTGTTTTAATCTCTCTAAAATTTGGGTTTAGGTTTGTATCCCCTTTTTTATATATAAAAAAAAAATGGTACTTTTATCCATGTCATTGTCATAGATCTGATAAATAATGATGCTTTACTAAACAAGCAGTTCGGAATTCATTTTATATGGATTAAAAATTTAGTCCCTCTAATTTGTAGGAGCTAAAATTATATTTAAATTTTTTTATTTGATGTATATGCAGAGAAGACTGGTGATGTCAGAGTTGGCAATAACGGCAACAGCTCTTCAAGGATCATGGAGCAAGTACCATCTGTAAGAACAGACTCTTTTTTCTCACCTGTTGGAGTGTGGAATAAATCAGGTACGTATTAGAAGAAAATTCCGCAATTCTAGCCACAGCGATACACTGTTACTTATGATCATGATGTTCACATTCACAATAAATATAAAAGGCGATACTTTGATTTGTGAAGTATTCCTCGTCTGGAATCCTGTGCTTTTATCAGCTCATAATATCAATTTGTGCTCCTATTTACTCAAATTCGCTATTTAAGTTCATCTCATGTGGCATTTTTATTTCTCTGATTGGCACATGTTTACGTCATAAATTAACATACAAAGCTTACCAGTTTATGAGGTGAATCTGGAGAACTTTAGCCACTATGCACTCCAAGAAAAGTTGAAATGTTGGGAACTCTTTTTTACTCCCACTATAATTTTAGTTTTTAATTTCCTGCTAAACAACAATCTGGTATCTAAAGATCTTTTTTTAATGGTAAATGCAGGCTTGTACTCTATCAGCAACACGCCAGAAAACAATCGAGATTTTAGTGACAACTTCAAACCCCAGCAAATACTTTCACATGAAGGTTTGATTTTCTTCATTCTGGATTTGCTTGGGTGCATTGGATTTTCAGAGGGGGGGACACTTTGAACAATAAGGTTACTTTTACTGGTTATCCAATGGAGATAAGTCAAGCTTTTATTGGGTGCCACTGATTTGTTAATTACCCTTCAGAGGTTTAAATATATTATTGAAAGAAAAATGTATATTATGTAACTGAAGACGTGCAATTTACTGCTCATATTTGAGAATGTGATGACACAGCTTGTGTAAATTACTTTGTATCAAATCTTCAGGAAACCAGCATGCACGTGGAGAAGTTTTCTCTAGAAAGAGACAAAAACTAAGACAGTGTGTCGCAGATGTCTTATTTACGGACACAGAGAAGCTCTGTTCAAAAGGGTTAGGCACAGTTTTGCTATTAACATTAATTGCCCTCGCCCTTTATCATGAATATAATAGGAAATTTTCAGGCACGATGTTATTTCCATGCTCCTTAGTCGGCTGTTCCCTATGAGAACTGAGGAAAATGTATGTTGTGTTTAGCCATTTCTTTGTGCTAATATACTATAATTCCTTCCAATGACTTGCCTTCCTTAACAAAAGTGATTTTCTGTGCCAGAAATATGAGGATACAAATCCAGGAAAAGAAGTGAATGCTACAAGATATGATTTACCTGATTCTCGAGAGTTGGATGATCACTTAAACGAGAACTATCAGATGCCTAAAAGGAAACTTCTTGAACTGGAAACAAGTCCATACTTCAGTGATCATGTGTTGTCTCCTACGTTTCTCAGATCAAATGAGAGAATTACTCCGCACGCCGAGTTCCCAACCTATCCTTCTCACAACTTTCAACCTCTTCACAGTATAACAGAACCTGAGTTCAAACTAAGTAAAATTCCAAGTTTCAGTGCCTCTACAAAGAGTGACGTAACTCTTGGATCTCTGTTTAACGGAGCAGCAAATGCTACTAGATATGGTTTACGTGATTATCGGGAGTTAGATGTTCAATTTACAGAACACCATCAGATATCTAAGAGGAAACTTCTTGAACTTGAATCAAGCTCATCCTTCAGTGATCATTTGTTATCACCTGTATTTCTCCGTTCAGTTGAGGTAATTACTCCACATGCCAACTTTCCAACTTATCCACTCAAGTTTCAACCTCTGCTCAGTATAACAGAAGCTAAAAGTGATTTTGGTAAAACTAGAACTCCAAGTTTCATCGATAAGGATGATGTAACCGGAGTATTTTTTAGTAATAAGCAAGAGAATGAAATCTTTACGGTTAATCATTTCAAGGAGATGGGGAAATTTGAGAGAGAACCAATTCCTCTTCTTATGGAAAAAGATTTTGACTGCACTGCAGATGAGACAAATTTACCTATCACTTGTAAGTATATAAAGCCAGATATGCCCCTTGAATTATCAATTTTGGGCCATGGTAAAGAGCGAATATTAAATAATACACTAGATGAATACCACTTTAGTCCTTCATCCTCGCTACCCGACAAGCCACAGGACTTCAACTCAATATTGGATTCTGGTTTCTTAAGATACCAAGAATTCAAGTTTGGAAAGTATGTCTATGAAGGCATGGACACAAATTTTAACCATACAGAATTGTCCTTGTCACACGATATGCATCACTTTAATGTGTCTGAAAATTGCAAGAATGACACTTCATGGGATCAAGACAGCTCATTCCTTTCACCATACCAGCATTGGGTTGGAAGAACAGTTTCCGATGATACCTACCGTCTTCATTCTAACCCGGAAACCTGGCTTCCATCTTCACTTGCTGAATATCAGAGGTGCTGTTCCCTAACTAGTTCCCATTTAAATTACCGAAGTTCAAGGTCAAGGAGTTTACAGTTGCCACAAAGGGAAAGTATGTCTTCTCCTTTTCACATTAATGATAATTACGAGCCAGAAATGTTTGGTGAAAATCACGGTGAAGTGCTTTATCATTTTAGGGAAAGCTCGGTTGAAATATATAACTCTGCTTTTCTTCATATGTCCATGCAAAGAAACAATGCATGCTCATTTCCTCTGGATGGCAGTGACTATGTCAATGAACAAGAGCACACACAGAAGCTGCTCCTCTAGAGTCTAACACTCAAGAATGCTTGATCAAACATTACCTCGAACATGTGTTTACAAAATGACATGTCCATCAAACGTTACCTTTTGGATGGAAATTAATTGTTACTATGCAGGGATTCTTGATAATTTGAAACATTAACAGGACTCTGTCTAGACTTAAATTGCACAAGCATCTAAAGAGGGTAGTGACTCTATAATTGTTCTTTTTTTTTTTTGATAAACAGAGTGACTGTATAATTTTGACATATCCAAAAAGAACTTTCCCGTGATTCAGCAGAAAAAGTTAGTACTTTATTTTTTTTTTGTGGCATTTATCATGTAAGAGTAATGCTAACCTAAACGTCATCAATTGAATTTCCCGAATGCATATATTGAAAATATTGAAGGGTGTAACTGTAACTAGTTTGTGTAGTGTATAGCTCACTCTTATTACCGATTTACCTGCCTCTATCATTTATCAAAGAGCTTACGATTAGTAGAAAACTACAAATCCTTACGTTAAGCAAACCAGAAACTTGAATTCAAAATTATCTCCAACGTCTTTCTCTTGCATTATTTGGAGTGGTCTTCATGCTACTCCAGATTTCAATTTGGTTACGCTCTTGCCTCGTGTGCACTACTTTATGGTGTTGGAAGGCCTACATCCACGTCCTTTAACCGCGCTTCCCACGGCATCGTGTATGGGGCACATGAAAAAAGTACACACTATCGTTGTTTTACTTTTCTTATTTTCCACAAAATCCCCATTATAAGTGAGATATAGATTTTGTTTTGTTTTGTTTGCTATTCTATTTAGAGGGTCATTTTCAGTTGCATGTGCAACTTGTACGTCACTCATAAATAGAAAACGATATCTGACCCATTCGGTATTCTTTTACCCAAGATTAAAGGCTACCCTATGACACAAATTTTTGTTTTCACTCGCCTTTAAATCCCAATGTTTTGTGTACCCCCTGTCGCATTAAAGGTGAGATCAAACAAAAAATTATTGTGAAGTCAACATAACAGAATGTAGAAAATTATGGGGCCTCAACCGATATGGCTTTCCCCGTTCCATTGTTTGTATGCCTTTCCTGTTATTTTTACTCCTTTAAAAGGATCTCCTTTCCATATGATACTATCGATTTGGTGATCACTCATTTGTAAAAATAACAAGATAATATCTCAGGTTCACTGCAATTGAGTCAAGTAACTACCTTGTAAATTTGATCCAAAAATGAAATATTATTTCAACTGTTTTATTATTCTATATATCAAGTAATGACACATTCAATATTTATGATATTTTCCCTACCAACATTATTTGGCAAGATTTGGAAGAATGAATTATATTTATTACATTGGGATTGCATAGTTATTTGCCTATACATAAGTGTAACAACTTGCCTGTTTTGTTAGACTGGTTAGTTTTGTTATCAAACATGAGATTCAAATTCCATTGGAAGCAAGTTGAGAATTTATTAGTACTAAATGATATAAATCAATAGCAGTTTGAAGCGAGCTTTTCACAAATAGAGAGGATGGAGGACAAAGTACAGAATTAAGGAAAGGCAGAGACAAAGAAAAAAGGTAGGACAACAAGCCCACATCTCTTCACCTTTTCCAGCCTTTTGCCTTTTAGATCTACACTTATCTCTCTCCCTTTCTTGGTGATCTGTATGGAGGTTTCTCTAAATTGTCTTTAGTTTTTTGTTTATTTCCTAGTTGTGTGGAATAGTTGTACTCAAGATTTCTGTAGTTGAACTGCTTCTGTGCTATTATTATATTATATTATTCCCATACATTTGAAACAAAAATAAAATAAAATATATATATATATATATATATATTATTCCCATACATCACCAAATGTTATGCCTATTTGTCTCGCAGCTTCATCACTTTCAACAAGTCAATCAGATGGTGGTGATGGGATAGAGGATAAGGCAGAAAAGTAAATGGATCAACCATCAAGATGCAGATGCTCATAGACAAAGATATGTCCAAACAAAAAGACTCCAAGCACCAACTACCAAATGTAGTAGCAAAACTAATGGGGCTTGAAACCCCTCCAAGGGGAGAGCCTAATTTATCTGTAGAGAGAAGCCACAGAAGCGATTATTCTCAACATATGTATGGTCCTATAGGGCTTCCATTCAAGCATTGGCAGCAGGAAGATGGGTTTATGGATATGGAAATGCTTCATGAAATTCATCCAAGCACAGAACAGGTTTCTTACAAAGATATGTATGAAATATGGCAGCAATCTCAGAGAGCAACCTATGTAAGGGGCAAGATACCAGATAGAGGAAAGCGGAATGAAGAAGTTGATGGGAAAAGAATGGCTCTCATTCGTCAGAAATTCATGGAAGCAAAACGTATGTCAACAGATGAGAGACTGCGCCATACCAAACAATTCAAAGAAGCCTTGGAAGTTTTAAGCTCCAATAGTGATCTCTTAGTCAGGTTATTGGATTCTCAAAATGTTTATGAATTTTACTCAACTCCACCAAATGAGACAAAACGTGTCACCCTCATTAAACCTTTGAAGATGATTGACAGTGTCAATGACAAATCTTCCAGTAAGGAGAAAAAAAATAGTAGACTGATTAAGAAACCAGCAAGAGTTGATCAAGCAGCTGTATGGGAAAACAAGAATCCTGGAAACTCTCCAGATAGTCAGAAAGTTGATGATTCTCCAGTTAGAACCACTCGAATAGTGTTACTAAAGCCTAGCCCTGGGAGGACACATGACCAAAAGGCAATGATTTCTCCAACAACTTCATCACCACTGAATCTGAAAAGTGGAAGTTTCCATCAGGGACCTGAATATGAAGATGTACTAGAATCCATTAGAGTGGCAAAGGAGATCACACAGCAAATGCACAAAGGCCTTAGGAGCTATCAAAAGGATAAGACTCCTCATTCTTCAGTGTTTTCCAATGGCTTTTCTGATGATGAGAGTTCATTCAACAAATCTTATCATGAATATGCATCGGCGCATTTCAGCGATTTGGAAGCTATGTCACCATTGCCAAGGCTTTCATGGGATTACACAAATGGCTGTGGCAGTCCTTATTCTACAATGTCCTTGGGTCGAGTGTCTTGCTCTCCTGAGTCATCAGTGTGCAGAGAGGCAAAGAAAAGACTTTCTGAAAGATGGACTATGATGACATCAGATAATAAGGGTCACCAAGAACAAAGGCAATCTACGAGAAGCTCTACCTTGGGTGAGATGCTTTCTCTTACTCATAAAAAGAAATCTGTAACATCTGATGTTGAGAGTATTAATGAAGACCAAGAACCTGGCAAATATGTTTCTTGCAGCCATTCTTTCAATGCAGAAATAAGCATTGAGGGCTCTCCTAAAACTCTTCCCAGGTCAAATTCTGTGCCTGCATCTTCTACTGTCTATGAAGCTGTTGTTGATCACAATACTGGGAAAGCACAGGGCTCCAAGGCGCGGACAAAGTCAAAGAGTATGAGATCATCACTTAAAGGGAAAGTTGCCAGTTTCTTGTTCTCAAGGAGTAAGAAATCAACCAAGAAAAAACCAAGTCCATCTCAATCTACTCCTACTGCCACCGAAACATTAGTTCTTCCAGCAAATTCACCTGAAGTCCTCAGGGATGATGTCTCTCAAAGCATCAATGTGGATCGTTTTGAAGAGTGTTCTCTTGCAGATCTATGTGAATCATCAGGGAAAACTAAAACAGATTTGGTCTCTAACAGACAAGAAGAAGAAGACATGATTACACTAGAGGTAATGGCTACTGTTATTCTGCAAATTTCATCATATTATTTTTCATTTTATTTCATAATGCTAATTTTCTTTCTTTGGCCGATGAATATTTTGGATATGTAAGGAGTTTTTTTTAAGAGAATAGAGTAAAAAAAAAAAAAAAAAAAAAAAAAAAAAAGAGAAAAAAAAGAAAAAAAATGATTCAGAAAAAAGGGCAAGCTTTGTACATGTTAAAAAAGCCAAAGCATTCAGGAAAGTCAAAAAAATTGCAAGAAAAAGGCAAGCTTCAAACATGTTGAAAAGCCAAAAAGAAAAAAAAAAAAAAAAAAAAAAACTATACAGAGAGAAAATAGTGAAAGACACAGAAATCATGTAGGAAACTACAGAATTAATATTCATCATAGCTTTTTGAGAAGTTCGCAAGTTAGTGGATATTAAAACTAATTGTTGTTTTAACCTTTATTTATTATGGGCTTATGGGTTAACACCAAAAAACCATTCCTTAATTATAATTGAGTATTCCTTTATAATCCACAGGAATTTTTGTGCCTTCTCTTCCTAACTAATGAAATTACTAGTATATCAAATGTTCTTATTGTTGGGATTGGATGAGTATGGTGGCAAGTTTATGCACGGAAACTAATTTCCTCTTATATTGTTGGGATTCACAAGTGTTGGAATGGTGAAATAAATAAAATAAAATAAAACCGAAATTTTTGTTATTAAAATGCTTGGGTACTTGTTGATAATCAATTGAAGTAATTTTTCTTAGTCAGCCTAGACCACAACCTCTTCGGTTTCCTCTTATCAAGATGAGATTATTGAATGATAAATTGAATTGAATACATATATCTTAGGACCAACCCGTATATAAATATATGAAATCCTTGATCTGTTTGTTTTCACAGCCTGGATTCACTGTGCCAAGGCCCATGATGTCAGAGATTAATTTAAACGATAACCCGGATCAGCCTAGTCCAATCTCAGTGTTACAACCTCCATTTGAAGATTATAATAGTAATGCATCTCATGAGTCCTTGAACAGCACGAAGAGTGGTCAACTAGGTAATAATGCTTAGGACTTTTCTCTTTCTTCATCAGTTCAAGTTCTCATTTGATATATATAAATATATAGACCATATCCTAAATTTTAATTTAGTCACTATAGTTTAATTATTACCTGAGTGCCATTTGTTTCTACATCAATAGGATCACAGGTGTTACTGAAGTCCAATTTAATTGACAAATCACCACCTATAGAATCAATAGCTAGGACCCTATCATGGGATGATTCTTGTGCTGAAGTAGCAAGCCCCTATCCATTAAAACCCTTGATGGTTTCTTCCTTGGACTCCAAGGTAGAGGAACACGAGTGGCTACTCTTGGTCCACAAACTACTATCAGCAGCTGGACTTGATGATCAACACCAATACGACTCGTTTTACACTAGATGGTATTCACTTGAAAGTCCATTGGACCCATCACTGAGGGACACATATGCCAAGGAGCCTATGCCAATGCATGAGGGCAGAAGAAGGAAGATGAGATCAAACCATAAACTTGTGTTTGACTATGTCAATTCTGCACTATTGGAAATTGTTGGTTATGGATCAGAGAAAAGTTGCTTAAAGAGCAGTGGGAGCCACTACAGGGTCCTAGTCCAAGAGGGTGCATCAACCTTATTGGTGGACCACATTGTGGCCCAAATGAAGAAATTAATAGCAAGTGGGATGAAGAGTGAGTGGGAGGGTGGTGGGGACAGCAACAGCCTGGTGGTAGAAAATGTTGTCAGAAAAGAGGTGGTGCAAATAGGGTGGGTTGAGCTTATGGAATTAGAGATTGATGTTTTGGGGAAGGAGATTGAAGGAGAATTGATTCAAGAGCTTGTGGAGAATGTGGTGGTTGATTTTACAGGAAGGGATTGAATCCCTCTTGAGCCTTTCTGCTTTTGATTTTTAAATTAAATAAATATTGTAAGTTTATTATGGTTGCATTTGATCATCCACTTTGTGCTACTCACCTAATTTATTAAATTCTATGCTACCAATAAATTTGTAGTTATTTGCTATTGATGACTCTGAAGTTTATATGCACAATTACTCAAACCAAGAACATGAAGAATTTATCTAGTTATATTATTAAAGAACATAAATATATATATCACATTGTCACAAGTCACTATCTGTCTGTGTTGGTACTAGTTTAGCCATAACTGTGATGCTCTAACAGTACCATCGGTACAGTTGGTGTAAAGTATGCATGACACATTTACCGGAATCACAATGTGTAGTCCTCTTGCAACATGTTGCTGGCTCTCAATTCATGGTGAAGCGTGGATCGATTGGAATCACAAGTCACAGCATACGATGACTTCTCTGTAGTATCATCATGTTCACCATTTTTATATAGAACTATAAAATTAATCATTGATCACAGCATGAAGTTCACACCATTTTTATATTTCCCTTCTATAAATCAATTCATGCAATCCTTTTTGAGATGGGAGATAACATGAAGTTCAACTAGTTTTATTCAGAATGATATATGGTGACTCGTTTTTTTTTTCAGCCAAAATTCAATATGACATTCTCCTAGTCTTACCACATGGATTGTTGACATAGTTTATGGTCCAGGAAATAAACGCTCCAGATGCTGGCATAATTAATTAAAGTTTTATGAAAAAAAAAATCAAGAGATAGAAGAGGTAAACTCGATCTATTTGTCTACGAAAATCGTGGAAAGATTCTCAAACATGAATGAGGTACTAATCTTTGCACTCTGAAGGTGCTGAAGCCCGAAGTAGAACCAAGGGACAAAGACAAACATTGTTTTCAAGTGGATAAAAAGGTTGAGAATATTCTCCGATGGCTATAAGATGTAAAATTTCTAAATTCTAACTATCCTAAAAGACAAATTATGGTATCTTCAGCTTAAAAATTAAGGCACGACTGAAAAGTCCCGTGACAGCACCATGGACCACGTTCCACTAGACAAGCTTCCAAAGTGATTAAGATCATTGACTGCAGTTTGAGAGAGAACAATTTCTCATCACTTGTCATTTTTCTATCAGAAACAGAAGCCGGGGAGAAAGAGTATTGTGTTACGTACTACGTAGAGGAAGAAGCTAATGCTTTTTGTTTATTCTTCCTTTTTTTAAAAATCTGTGGTTCTATTTTCTTGAATATATTCAACAATGGTTTGTCATGGTCGATTCTGCCAAAACACTAACATAAAAACTCACTTAATCTAAATCCAATGATCAGCATAGTCCTGCAGTAGTCAGAAACATTCACATGGAAATTTTCCATTGAATCCAAATGTGAAAAATAATATTACAGTCACACTTCCTTTTATCTATAAATAGGTAGATAAATAAAACTCTTAACCTTTTAATGTGAAGCAAAAGTAGTACAAATCAAATGCTAATAATAACTGTGCGTTTGTTTACTATCCAGAAATATTTAACTAAAACATTTCCTGTGACTTCAAAGTTCAAACTGCTCGAGTTCAACTGAAAATTTTCACGCTCTAGAAATATATACTCTTCTTTTTCCTATTCTAAAATTAGCTTATGAAAGGAAAAAAAAAAAAAAAAAAAAAAAAAAAAAAAAAAAAAAA